CAGTTTGAATAATTTGTGTCTTTCTAGGAATTTGTCCATTTCATCTAAGTTATGTCATTTGTTGACATATGGCCACTGATGGTATGACCTTAGAATTCTTTTTATTTCTTTAAGGTCAGAAGTGATGTCTCCTCTCTCTATCCTGATTTTAATATACTAAATCTTTCCTCCTTTTTTTGTTTTTTTTCCCTTGGTCCGTCTAGCTAAAGATTTCTCAGTTTTGTTGATCTTTATTTTCAGAGACACAAATTTTAGTTTGATTCGTTTTCTCTATTGTTTTTCTATTCTCTATTTTATTTCTGTCTCCTCTAATCTTTATTATTTTTTTCCTTCTCCTTCCTTTCAGTTTAGTTTGCTCCTTTTTTCATTGTCTTAAGGTGGAAGGTTTAGTTACTGATTTGAGATCTTTTGTAATACAAGCGTTAAATTTGTCTTTAAGCTCTGTTTCAGCTGCATCCCATAAGTTTTGGTATGTTGTGTTTTCATTTTCATTTATCTGAGTGTTTTCTAATTTTCCTTGTGATTTCTTTCTTAACCCACTGGTTATTTAGGGGTATGTTGTCTAATTTCCACGTTTGTAAATTTCACAAATTTCCTTCTGTTACTGATTTCTAATTTAATTTCATTGTAGTCAGAGAACATACTTTGTCTGATTTCAATTCTTTTCAATTGATTAAGAGAGCGACAAACTAAGCTGTAGAGAGCTAGACATTTAACAGAGATAACCAGGGAAAGAGATAGCAAAGAACCTCCCAGGTCATCAGTATTTTTATGGCTCTTCTTATGTATCACTATTGCTTTCTAAAAGGATTTTACCAGTTTACATTGCTGCTAGCTACTCATGAGTCTACTAACTTCATTGTAACCACTTTATCTTGGGTGTTACATTTAATATGTGGTTTATAATTCTGCAGAGTATGTTTATTATTCATTGTGCTATAAAATACTTTACAGAGGAACAGAAATAAATTTGGGGAGGGGTTAAACAACAGAAATTTATTTCTTGTTGTTCTGGAGGCTGGGAACTCAAAGATCAAGGTCTGAAGTTTTGGTTTCTGGTGAAGTTGCTTTTCTTGAATTGCAGACAGCTGCCTTCTCTCTGTAACCTCACACAGTGGAGAAAGAGAAAGAGTGTGTACATGTATGAGCAAGCAAACTCTGGTCTCTCTTCCTCTTTTTTTATTGGGGTAACATTGCTTTATAACATTATATAAATTTCAGGTGTACATCATTATATTTCAACTTCTGTATACACTACATCACGTTCACCCTCCCCACTGGTAGTCACCAGTCTGTTCTCTGTGTCTGTGTTTGTTGTTGTTTGTTCATTTGTTTTTATCTTCTACATCTGAGTGGAATCATATGATATTTGTCTTTCTCCGTCTGACTTATTTTGCTTAGCCTAATACCCTCAAAGTCCATCCATGTTGTTGCATATGGCAAGATTTCATCTTTTTTATGGCTCAGTAGTATTCTGTTGTGTATTATATATACCACATCTCCTTTATCCATTCATCTATCCATGGGCAGTTAGATTATTTTCAAGTCTTGACTATTGTAAATAATGCTGCAGTGGACATGGAAGTACATATATCTTTTCCAATTAGTGTTTTTATGTTCTCTGGATAAATAGCTGGATCATATGGTAGTTCTATTTTTAATTTTTGGAGGCATCTTCATACTGTTTTCCATAGTGGCTGCACCAATTTCCATTCCCACCAGTAGTGTACAAGGGTTCCCTTTTTTCCACATCCTTTCCAACACTTGTTATTTCTTTTCTTATTAATTATAGCCATTCTGATGGGTGTGGGGTGATATCTTGTTGTAGTTTTGATTTGCATTTCCCTAATTAGTAATGTTAAACAACTTTTCATGTGCCTGTTGAGCATCTGTATATCTTCTTTGGAAAAATGTCTGTTCAGATCCTTCACCCATTTTTTAATTGGGTTGTTTGTTTTACTGTTGAGTTGTATGAGTTCTTTATATATTTTGGATATTAACCCCTTATTGGATATATGATTTGCAAATATCTTCTCCCAGTTGGTAGGTTGTCTTTTCACTTTGTTGATGGTTTTCTTTGCTGTGCAGAAGCTTTTTAGTTTGATTTAGTCCCATTTGTTTATTTTTGCTTTTGTTTCCTTGCCTGAGTAGACATATCCAAAAAGGTACTGCTAAGACTGATGTCAAAGAGCATACTGCCTATGTTTTCTAGGAGTTTTATTGTATTGCTGGTAAATTTCTCCCTTTAGGTCTGTTAACAGTTGCTTTATATATTTTGGTGCTCCTATGTTAGGTGCATATATATTAATAAATGTTATGTCTTCTTGATTGATTGTCCCCTTTATCATTATATCTTTGTTTCTTGTTAACTTTTTTGGCTTGAAGTCTTTTTTGTCTGTTATAACTGTAGCTACACCCACTTTCTTCTGGTTGCCGTTTGCTTGGAGTATCATGTTCCATCCCTTCACTTTGATCCTATGTTTTGTCTTCAGAGCTGAGATGGGTCTCCTGGAGGCAGAATATTGTTGGGTCTGTTTTTTAATCCATCCATCCACTCTGTGTCTTTTGATTGTTGAATTCAACCCATTAACATTTAATTTCTGATAGGAGGGCTTAATACTGCCATTTTATCTTTTGTTTTCTGGTTGCTCTATACTTCCATTGTTTCTTTTTTCTTGTGTTTCTGTGAATTCCATTTGCTGGTTTTCTGTGATGTTTTTCTGAGTTTCCTCTTTTTTATGTTTTGTGACTCTGCTCTGAATTTTTATTTTGTGGTTACCATGAGGTCTGTATAAAAGGTCTTGTAGATAAGATAGTCCTTTTTCTGCTGATAGCATCTAATCTTTGTTTGCCTATGCAGGTTCTGTCCTTTCCTCTTCCTTTTCTATATTTTTGCTGTCACAAATTATCCCTTTTTGTATTGTGAGTTTGTTACCAAATCAAAGTGGTTATAGTTATTTTTAATGCTTTCTTTCTCTTTAACTTTAATGTTATAATTATGTGTTTACTAACCTATTCTGATATATAGAGTTGCAGTTTTCGGATTATGTCTATTTATCTCCTTGCTCAAAGCTTTGTATACCTTTTCCTTTTTGTTTCAGGTAGGAGGGCTCCTTTCAACATTTCTTATAGGGCAGGTCTAGTGGTGATGAACTCCTTCAGCTTTTGTTTGTCTGGGAAAGCCTTTATTTCTCCTTCATATCTGAAAGATAACTTTGTGTTATAGAGTATTCTTGGCTGACAGTTTTTTTCTTTCAATATTTTGAATATATCTTTTCACTCTCTCCTGGCCTGTAGAGTTTCTGCTGAGAAATCTGATGATAGATTAATGGGGTTCCCTTCTAAGTTATTTTTTTTTTCCTAGCTGCCTTTGATATTTTTTCCTTGTCATTGACTTTTGATAGTTTTATTATGATGTGTTTTGAGGATCTTTTTATGTTGAGATAATTGGGTATTCTGTTAGTTTCATGGACTTGCATATCCAGTTCCTTCCCCCAGTTTGGGAGGTTCTCAGCTATTGTTTCTTTAAATAAACTCTCCGTTCCCTTCTCTGTTTCTTCTCCTTCTGGGATACCCATTATCCTTATCTTGCCCTTTCTAATGGAGTTGGATAATTCTTGTAGAATTCCTACATTTTTTAAAAATCTTAGTTCTCTCTCCTCTTCTACCTTCATGATTTTTAGGTTTCTAGCTTCAAGCTTGCTAATTTTCTCTTCTATATGATCTGCTCTGTTTCCAGTGCTTTCTAATGTATTCTTCATCTCATTTATTGAGTTCTTCAGCTCCAGAATTTCTGTTTGGTTCTTTTTTAGAGTTTCAATCTCTTGGATAAAGTATTCCTTCTGTTCATTGATTTTATTCCTGAGCTCATTGAACTGCCTTTCTGAGTTTTCTTGTAGCTCATTGAGTTTCTTCATGACCGCTATTTTGAATTCTTTGTCAGTTAGATCACAATCTTCCATGAGTTCATGGTTGGTTTCTGAAGAGCTGTTATTTTCTTTTTGTGATACTGTGTTACCAGGGCTTTTTATGGTTTTTGCTGAGTTATTCTTCTGCTGACTCATTTGTTGTAGCAAACACTTTTCTTCTTAAGTATAGCTTGCTTTGTTTTGATTCAAACTTTTCAACCAATTGAAGATTAGAGGCCTTTCTGTTGTTTTTCAGTAGGTGGTGCTATAGCACTCACTAGTTTTTGGTTTCTCTTACCTGAGCTGCCTCTGGCTATATTTGAGGATCTGCAAAGTCCACCCTCCACCTCCTCTATTTGGAGTATCACAGTACTCTCATCTTTGCCACCTGTGCCTCTGGAGGTCACTGATGCCTTGCTGTTGCTGGTTCATTGCAGTCACCGGCTTCATTGCCAGGGGCACAGGGATGGCTGACACCTCTGCTGCATCTGAAATCACCTAGGTTGGAAGCTCTGCTGCTGTGGTGGGAGGAATAGGAGAGTAAGGAGGGAGCCGGGTTTGTGGGGCACCATCTCTGCTGTTGCCTGTCACCTTGTGGCCCAGGCACTGCTGCAGTTGGGGTATCAGAGTCATGTGCATGCCTCTGCTGCTGCTACTAGGCTCTAAGCTGTGGCCAGGGGCCTGGGATCATGGGGCTCTGCCTCTGTTGCTGCTGTGCTCCTCATGACTGCGGGTGCCACCACAGCCGACTGGCCAGAGTCAATGTGTGCCTCTGCTGCTGCTCACTTGGTTCTCTGGGTCTGGGGGTGGCTGGCTCAACTGTCACAGCCAGGGGTCCAGAGTCTTAGGCCCCACCTCTGCCGTTCTCCTATTTCACCTCCTCTCTGTGCTCCATTCTACCCACCTTCGTATGTGCTGATATGTGGATCTCTCTGATGTCCTGGTATTTTGGGCAATGTAGCCTTTGTTAGGTTATGGGTGTTTTATGCACTGTATATTGAAGGGGAGAGACAAAGGGATCTTCTCATGCCACCATAATGATGACTCAAGATGACTTTTGATGTATGTCTTTTCTTCTGCTTTTCTCCCAAGTCACCTGGAACTTCTTTGACTCCAAAGAATGGGTCCCTTACTAGTACATATGGTCAACATCCATCTAAAGATAGTCGTCAGGGTCAATGGCAACGCCGAAGAAGGCTGGATGGAGCACTGAACAGAGTCCCAGTTGGGTTTTATCAAAAAGTATGGAAAGTTTTGCAGAAGGTGAGTATAACACATTGTAGATTTCTGTTTTCCCCCCTGAAATCTTCAGTCTTCTTGGCTGAGACATGACATGTCTGTGACATCACTGCAATTATATCAAAGTCATATGCCCATATGGACAAAACCTAGAAGGAAACATAAAAATGTAACAGTTGATTTATTTTGACATTATTGATAATTTTGTCTCTTTCCATTATTGTTGCTATGGTTTTGTTTATAAATTAGATTTCAAAAATCATCACTTCTCTGCTTTTGGCCATAGTTGGACATTGTGGGACATTGTGATACATTTTCTGCTAATCAAATGAATTTGGTGATAAAAGGCTTGCTTTCTTTGTAGCTATTGTAGAGTAGAAATGTTATTTGTAACGATGTGATCTTAATAACAAAATATCACTGTGGTAAAACAACTGTGGCATCTGGGGAGTTGGTGTAAGAAGCTGTTACCTATGTTCTTCTTGGCTAAAAACTACTAAATAAATACAGGCATAATGATGCTCATAGTCCAAACACTCCATTAGTGTGACTAATTTTCGTTTTTTCTTCAAAGGCCTAGTTTGCCAAAGACAGTTAAGGGGACATCACACCATTATGATTGTAACAGATTTAGAGGGCCAAGAAGACCATTGTACTCATTCATAGGTCTCATTCAGAATCTCTTAAGTGCCGCTTTTGCTTTATTGCCCTTGGCAAGGACCTGAAGAATGCTTCATCCAGGACCTCAAAACCTCTAGTTATGTTTCTCCCTTTAGCACACTGATATTCTTCCAGGGACAGAATCAGGTGGTCTTTTGGAAAAGTGAAAGTTGATTCCTCAGACTGTAAGCTCTGGTGATCTTTCTTCCAAAGAATACTAAAAACTTGCTTTCCTTCTATCTAACTTCAAATGCATAATGGTGACGGTTATGTATTTTGTCTCTCCAGTTACACCTGGATTGTGGCACTTCAATTTCACAGACATGTAGTAGGTGATGTTCTACCCCAGATACCATGGAAAATATCTTTTCCTGTCATCAGGGAGTTTAATCTATAGTTATCTCCTTAAATAGCAGCTATAATGCAAGGCCAAAACATATTGTGATAAAGGTGAAAAACCACAAGGCTCTGAGAATATAAGAGAAGGAACATTTAAATCTGACTGGGAAGATTGGGTATTTTGTGGCAAAATCAAAACCTGGACTTGGAATCCTAATGTAGGAGGAAAAGCAAATGCCGTCTGTTTTTTATTCCATTCCTTTCAGAGTATGAATGTAACATAACCACTTTACACATATGTTTGAAGGCTAGTGATTCTCTGTACAAAGACTGTTATTTGGTATATGGAACGTGGGCTAGAAGTGTCTGGTAGAGTCAATAAACCTGTTGGATTGGAATCTTTATCTGTGGTTTAATATATAATGTTTTGATTTATTTACAATCTAAAATGGTAAGTCATTAATTTGCATTGTATTTTAATAACTGAGTGGATGGTGAGAAGGAAGATACAATATCATTCATTCATTTGGTATTTCTTGAGCATCTGCTGTGCGCTAGGCAATGTCCTAAGTGTTCACAGTGATACAGCAAAGAACAAAACAGACAACAATCTCTGTCCTTATGGAACTTAAACATTCTACTAGAGAGAGACAAACAATAAATAATAAACATAATAAGTAAGTAAATTGTATATAATGTTAAAAGATGACAAGTACTATAGAAAAAGTAGAGTGGGGTGAGGGGATCAGGAGTGCTGATAGGGGATGCTTAACTAGAAAATGTAGTAACCATGCATGTTTGATAAATGCATATCTTGAGTTTTTTCTTCAGCCTAAAAACCTTTCCGAAAGCCTGTAGTCATGCATCACTTAATGACGGGGATAGGTTCTGAGAACTGTGTCACTAAGCAATTTCATCACTGTGTGAACATCATAGAGTGTACTTACACGAACCTAGATAGTATAACCTACTACACACCTAGGCTCTATGGTTCTAATCTTATGGGACCACTGTCGTATATGCGGTCCGTTGTTGACCAAAACATCATTATGCGGTGTATGACTTGTATTTGTGGTGGTGCTATGACTTAGCGTGGTATGATCCTAGGTAGTCTCTGAATCTTTGGGGCTATCCCAGAAGGTAGACCTTCTCTATCCCTTCCACTGCCCTAAGTAGAGAATGAACCTTGGGCCTCCTGTAGTCCCACCCTCCTTCTTGCCACATAGTAATCACAACCCCTTGGCAAGGACACCTGGGCTGCAGGGCCTTTCACTGGCCTGTGATTACTCAGCATCTACCCTGTGAAGCACACTTAGAAAAACTAAATGTCTCCTTACACCTTCCGAGTTGTCAGCATATCCTTAGTGACATGTTTTTTCTGTTTTGCAGTGTCATGGACTTTCTGTGGAAGGTTTTGTGCTTCCTTCTTCCACTACTAGAGAGGTAAGATTCTGTGTTTTTCATAGTTATGCGATTGATAGCTTGTCTGGCTAAAGTATTTCAGTGATCACTTTTCAAAATAACAAATCTGTACTTTCACAAATCAACTGAACATGAAATGCACTTGAAGAAAGGAGAGACTGTTTTTTTAAAAAATAGAATGGAAATATTAGACAGTAATTATGTATCACCTTAATTATATAGGGACAGCTTCTTTTAATGGTTGATTAAGTTAGGCTGGTTTATGTGAGTGTTGTCAGAGTTGGACAGGGCAGACAAGATAGAAATCTAAGAATGAATGACTTCTCCTGTCCCTATCCTTCTCATCCCCACCTTTCGTTTTTTTGTTTTTTTTGGGTTTTTTTGAGGAAGATTAGTCCTCAGCTAACTACTGCCAGTCCTCCTCTTTTTGTTGAGGAAGCCTGGCCCTGAGCTAACATCCGTGCCCATCTTCCTCTACTTTATATGTGGGATGCCTACCACAGCATGGTGTGCCAAGCGGTGCCATGTCCGCACCCGGGATCCGGACCAGCGAACCCCGGGCCGCCGAGAAGGGGAACGTGCGAACTTAACCGCTGCGCCACCGGGCCGCCCCCCCACCTTTCTTTAGTAGGACGCTTGTAGACTATTAGATCATAAACCAGTTGTCCTTAGCTCTAACTATATGTCAGAGTAACCTGAGCTCCCATGTGCAATTTAGTGGATTAGAACCTCCAGAGATGGGGCCTGAGCATCTGTACTTTAAACAAAAAATCCTTAGAATGATTCTGATTTATAACCATGATTGAAAAACATTGTCATGAATGACAGATATAGATTATCAAGCACTTTTGTATTTCGCCTTTTACCCAATCACACAGAAATTATAAAGAAATATCTTTTTTACAAAATCAGCAAAGGAGCTAGAATTAGCAAGCTAGGAATAGTAAGCTTGGACAGAAAATTCTCAAAAATGCTGGAGTTGTCGCAGATAATGGTGGCTGGAGGGGCAGATTCGGAAAGCTAATCCCATGCTTCAGGCCTTCACTCTTGCCTACAGGCCTTTTCTCTAACAAAGAACATTGTGTCCTCTATTTGTCTTTTCTCTGCCTTTAAGCAAGATTGAAATTCTAGTAGAATTAATAGTAATATATATCTGAATGCTACATTTAAGAGTCCTCAAGGCACCTTCACACATTCTTTAATTTGGTCTTCAACACAACTATGTGAAATAGCTAAGGAATGGATTGTAGTTCCTGATTTAACAGATAAGGAAACATATTTAGAGAGGTGAATTGTCCAAGGTCATAGAACTAGTAACTGACAAAGACAGTACTTGAACCCAGCTCTTCAGACTCCAAATCTACATTGCTGCCCTAAAGTATATACTCAATACAATTTTACCAAAAATTATTCCTCAATCCCCTTTACCCTAAAATAATTTTATATTTTTTCATGCCCATTTTAATCTAAACAGTATATAAATGTTTTAAATAATTCTAATCATCATGTATATACAATTTTTTTTTTTAAAGATTTTATTTTTTCCTTTTTCTCCCCAAAGCCCCCCGGTGCATAGTTGTGTATTCTTCGTTGTGGGTTCTTCTAGTTGTGGCATGTGGGACGCTGCCTCATCGTGGTCTGATGAGCAGTGCCATGTCCGCGCCCAGGATTCAAACTAACGAAACACTGGGCCGCCTGCTGCAGAGCGCGTGAACTTAACCACTCGGCCACGGGGCCAGCCCCCCATGTATATACAATTTTAAGTTCTACTTACATCTTTCCTTTATCCACAGTCATCATATTTATTCTTTTAAGTGACTCTATAAAAACTCATGAAGTTGCTGTACCATGATATGCCATTAATTTACACAACCATTCCCATGTCTAAGTTATTTCTAGTTTTACACTTGCGACTAATACTACTATAAACATTCTTGCACATAAGGCTTTTTTCCTGTCTTGAATTATTTCTTTAGGATGAACTTCCAGAAATAGGATTAAGGTTAGAAGGCATTGACACTTTTATGACTCTTGTTATACATTGCCAGATTGCCTTTGAAAAAGACTGAACCAATTTGCTCACTGAATTACTTTAAAGGAGACCATAGAAACACTCTTGGCTACCGCATTTTTCTGCCTTTCAGAATAGGTGATTGATGTCTCTTGGATGATGGGCTCTTAGGATGTGATTTTCTTTTTCTCTATCACAGATGACTCCAGGCGAGATTAAATTCTCTGTTCATGTGGAGTCGGTTCTGAATCGTGTACCTCAGCCAGAGTACCGCCAGCTTCTGGTTGAAGCCATCCTTGTACTCACCATGATGGCAGATATTGAAATTCATAGTATCGGAAGCATCATTGCTGTGGAAAAAATAGTGCACATTGCCAATGACTTGTTCGTTCAAGAACAGGTAGGCAAACCTGTTGTTTTCTCACAGGGGATCTGACACTAACCTGACTGCATTCAGAGCTCTTCATGAAGCCGAGATCACTTTCTTCTGCCTTCTTCCTCATAGCTCTTTTCTGGGCTCCCTTTGTAGTAGCTGTGAGCTGTGTTTGCAAAAGAAGTAGGCTGCGGATGAACTCTGTCCTTCAGTATGTATATTGTCGTTGTGTTAGATGAAAAAGTTGCCTAGAACTCAGGGGGCTTTTATGCTTTTCATCATATTTCAAACTTCTTATCACACTACTTTTTGTAGCAATAAAGACTTAATGAAAGACTATTGGGTAACATATCCTTTCTGGACTATTAGGGGAAAGAGAAGTTTTGGTTTGTTTTGTTTTGCTTTTGCTTTTGTTACTTAGCTATAGGAAAATATTAAAGTGAAACTTTTAATTCCACATTTTTAAATTTTCTTAATAAATCATCTTCCAGGAAATTAACCACATTTAAAAAATACAAACTATTTATTGAAAGCTTTCCAAATGTTTACTAGATTAAGGGTAGGGACACATAAGATGAAGGACATGCACCGTTGTCAAGCAGAAAGTCTCTAAAACATGTAATAGGTGTTTCATTCCATTAGGCACTGAGGGGGACTGCAAAAGAAATTAAAAGCATCCTGGATTTTCTAAGACAGTCCTAATTCCTAATTTTAAATTTTCAGGATTGCTGTTAGTCCTTGTATCAGAAAATGTGATCCCTTTCAGGCATAGACTCTAACTTGGAAAGCTAATGGTCCACTTGAATTAAGTCAACTTAGAAAGAAATAACGATCAAATACAAAATAAAATAATACACGCTGAAATCAGTAGCACTAGAAAGATTCAGACCAAAGTCGCTCTAGGTTGATTTGTAAGTATTAACATTTGACTCTTAACAGGCACGACTCATTTAATTATTATATTTGACTTTCAAATATTCTAAATGATTAAACTTTAAAAATAATTTAATATGATTTGGGGATCTAGTGAAAAATGCATGTATAGAAACTCATATTCACTGTTTTGTGTATAGCTCCGATCCCTTCCTAGCTAAATAGCCTAAGATCCAACTAGTTGGTGATGGGGAGAAGGCTCTGAGTTATCCTAATCAGGACTTCAATTAGTAGGATTAGTAATTTTTCCTTTCCCCTGTGTTCCCCCACCCTTGAATACCAAACAGAAAACCCTCGGTGCAGATGATATCATGTTGGCAAAGGATCCTGCGTCTGGCATCTGTACTCTCCTGTATGACAGTGCACCCAGTGGCAGATTTGGCACCATGACCTACCTCTCCAAGGCAGCCGCCACCTACGTTCAGGAGTTCCTGCCCCACAGCATCTGTGCCATGCAATGAGGCCTTTGGGCCCTGGCTGCTGGGAGCTTTTTGACAGCCTGTTCCTGCCTTGGTTGATTGTGCATGTAACTGAAATGCAATGACCTGATCACTCCCACCCTGCCCCTTTCCATCCCATCTCTCTCAAGAAGAGCGAACTTTTCTGATAAACTAACTGCTTTGGAAGAAATGAACCCTTGCCTGGAGGCATATGCTCACCCAGGCACTTCATCGTGGGCCTTAATTCTCTCATGGCTCATAAAAGTTTGCATGTGTTTTTATTCTCTAGATCTGTTACCAACTTAGTTTTCTAACTCCTGTTTGGGGAGCAGGTATTAATAATAACTTATTCCTAAAGTTTGGTTTTTCTGATGTGTGGTTTCATTGTGTGACTGAGTGGTGGGTGCTTTGGGACATTATTTTAAGTGAGTAAACCCTAAATTGTTGGATTTTATGCTGCTATAAATTGGAAATATTTTATTCTAAGTGCCTTTTCTTAGAAGAGAGTACTGGATCCTGGTTCCCTTCTTTACTCACATGTTGCCTCACACTGAGTGATGAACTCCTTTCTGTGTAAAATTATTGTCTCTGCTTTTGCCTTCTCTGTATCTGCACACGTAATTCCTACTCTCCCTTTGGTGAAATATCGAAAAATGCAAGTGCAGTGTGTATATTTAAGTATTTAACACTTGAAATCACATTTTATGAAGATGGCTACTGCTCAGAGATGTGTTTGTAGCAGAAAATGCAGAATAATCCAGAGAAATGGAGCCAGGAGCCCAATTCCAGAGAAGGGGGAAGAAGAGAAGATGCCTAGGTAGTGTCTTACAGCGAGGAAGCAGAGGGGGAGTCAGGTGGGTTAGCGCCCTGAAGAGCACTTTGCGCACCCACTCCTTGCCTCTGAAGAGCAGGCCAACACACAATACAGGGAATAATTGAAGCCTCCGTCTTTGTCAGACAGGAACCCAGCAGTCTGCTCTATAGCTACTTTACTGAGCACTCCTTCCTTGTGCTCACCTGGTCTCTGTCTCACTCACCTATTCACTTTCTACAGCATCCAACCACCCCCCGCCAGCTCCCTGCCCTCCCATCTATTCTTAAACTCTCTCACTTACATTTTCACTTCCCGATTCTAGTGTTCATATCTATGTATATCTTGGTATCTGTGGGCATATATCTGTTTCTTGTAAACACCTGCATTTGTGTGTGTATCTAAGCATACATGGGATTTTTCTGAATGTAAGTACTTTGATATGTTTGTATATCTAGCTGTATCTATATTTGACAGACTGAGTAGGTAAATATGAGTGTTGTGGGGTGGGGGGTGGCAGGGAGGTGAGTGTGGCACAAACATTCAGTCCATAGCACTTTTCTTCTCCTGATTTGTGTGTAAAGACTCTATTAATTTCCCTGTTTGCACTTAGATAACTTCCTACTTCAATCACCTCCTTTCCCTCAAATTTTTCTCCAAGAATGGGGATCGGGCTGGTGGACTCCCTAGACAACTCTTACAGGGCCAGTGACAGTCTTATGAGGTCATGTGAGTAAGTGAGCATAGTAGAGTGATAGGAAACAGACACTGGAAATGAAGAGAGGATGGTCAGCCTTTTCAATATCTCTCTTAGAGCAAATGAAAACACACAGTAAGTAGCTTTCTGATTTTCTGGTCACTTATAAAGATAATTTACAACCTGTCCTGAAACTGTTTGTCTTTTCACTGGCTGCAAGTTTACCCCAACCACAGGGAGTGCCACAGGGGAAAGCCACCACTCCCTTCCATGCAAATTTGCATAAAATGACACTGATGGCTGCATTTCTCTGGGTTTACTAAGTTGTCAATCACTATGCTTCCCATACAATGCTATTTCACTTTTAAAGCAACTTTTTAGAAAACTTAATTCATATTTTGTTCATTTTAAGCATGTGATACTAAAAGACATGTTGGACTTTTTTTAAAAGCACTTATGTTTTGAAAATAGAATAAAAAATTAGAATTTCCAATTAAATCATGTCTGGTGCCACTGAGTAAAACTTTGTGTTTTTGTGATTGGAGTTTATTTCATGGCTGTTTTACATACTCCAGTTATACAGTACAGTCGAAGCTCATTAATTGGGTCAAAGTAGAACAATATTAATATATAAATCATATATTATACATTATATAATGTTATATAATATATGTAAAGAAATGCAGTTTTCTCATTCAAATACATACGTGCTCAAACTAGGTTCACTAAATTCAAACAGGCTTGTTGACATCTTTAGGGAAGCTGTTCTAATGAATGAGTAAGACTGAGTTTTACTCAGCATTACAGTTGTGTGCAAATGGTGCTTCTGCACTGCTGGAGGATACTTAACAACAGTTTGTTCTCCAAAGTATTATAAATATTTGGCAGGATCCTGCTTATACTACTCATTAGCCTTTTGTGTAACAAGAGTTTATCCAGCAAGGATGAACAGTCTCTACAGCCCCATCCTGGTTAATTAGGTTTTACTGCATTCTGGGAATTTTATGCAGCTGGTGAGGCAAAAGATGTTTTTCTCAGCCACAGCTCAAAAAACCTCTACCATCCCTTTTTGCACTTACCAAATACCTAGTACCTGTACTAATGCAGTGGAGATAGACACAGTGTTTTTCACATTTAGTCTTCATTTCCTAGTGAACTTGAGTGGCCTTTGGTCTTGGTTTGCCCAGGACAGTCCCCATTTTTGCCTGTTGTCCTGGCATAATTATTAATACCACTCTCTATCATTCTCCAAAGTGTCCCAGTTTGGGTGATATAGTTGCCCTATATTTAGCAGAAATCTGATTTCTTTTAAGGCTAGGCCTGAAAGCCAAGGACCTGTTCTCAAACCACTAGCTGCACTCTTGCAATAGTGATGTGGGAGTGAGGATAACAGTGGGGGGAGATTTTCCCCCAAATTAAGGAATATTTGGCATAATAGCTCTTAAAACAAATAATCACTATTTGAGTGCTTACTAAATGCCAGACATTGTTGTACAGGCACTTGGCATAGACCATCTTATTCTATCTTCACAATCATCAAGTGATATAGATACTGTTGTCATCCCCATCTTACAGATGAGGGAACTGAGGCACTGAGTGTTTAAGCAAATTGTTCAAGACCACAGCTAGTAAGTGGTAGAGTTGGAATTTGAGCCCAAGCAGTCTATCTGGAGTTCCCATTCTCGACAATGACATTCTCCAAGGAAAAGACATTAGGCAGTGGTGTGAAGATAAGGACCAGTCTGTTCAGTACAGGTGAGGCTCTGACTTCAAGTCCTCTGACTGCAAATCTAGTGCTTTGGGAAGGGCTTTCTTCCCAACTTCAGTGGGGATTAAGCATGTGGAAAATTGAGGTTAGGGATCTGTAGCATAGTTTGTCACATGTAACATGTCCTGTTAATCATGAACAAGGATCCAGCCTCCCTGGGGGATTTGCTTCAGGAATATGCTGGCAATTTCAGAGCCTCTTGCAACAATTTATCTTTCTCCACAGTTGAATCATCTTGCCACATTGCGTGCCAAATTAGGCTACTGTTTCCAGTTTAGAAGCAATGCTCATGTGTTGAAGTGTTCAGCTACCTGTTGCTAGATCTAAGAGAACACATAGAACAATCCATTTTCACATCATCTAATTTGGAGTCCAGATTTTAGGGTGTCAGTGGCCAGTTTTATCCTGCTCTCTTCCTTCCACTGCCTATCCATGAAAGCCCAGGACAAGTCCCTTTACCTCCTTATGTTGCCAACCCGTCACAATCTTACCTTCCGGTCAATTCCTACAGGCCCATAGACTCTTTCTCCTCTGTCTATAAACTTGTGCATTTCTCTCTTATCCTAAAAAACATTCCTGGGCTCTCACATCCCCCCAGGCTGATATACTAGCTCCTTCCTTTCACAATCAAATTACTTCAAAAAGGAAGCTACACCTGACAGTGATGGCTTCACTCTTTAACCCCGTGCAATCTGGCTTCCTCCTCTACCTTTTATTTTTTCATAGAACACCAGGAAGCTCCTAATGGCAAAAAGGGGTCTTTGACCCTTTTGCAAAACATGACATTGTTACTACCTCTCCCTTCTTGTAACCTTCTCATCCCTCCATTTCTGTGAAACTGTACTATACTTGTTCTCACTCAACTATTCCTTTTTTTGTCTTCTTTCTGGCATTTTTTCTCCTCCTAACCCCCACAAACAGACATTCTAAAAAAATTACACTCTTTTTCCTAGCTCAGAAATTCTCACCGTGGTATGGGGCAGGTTTTAAAAAGTGACATGAGGGGCCAGATCGGTGGTATAGTGGTTAAGTTTGCACACTCCACTTGGGTGGCCTGGGGTTCACAGGTTCAGATTCCAGGCACGGACCTACACACTGCTCATCAAGCCACGCTGTGGCGGCATCCCACATACAAAATAGAGGAAGACCGGCACAGATGTTAGCTCAAGGACAATCTTCCTCAAGCCAAAAGAGGAAGATTGGCAATGGATGTTAGCTCAGAGCCAATCTTCCTCAACCCCAACAAAAAAAGTGATGTGATCTGATTTACATTTTTTTTAGAAGCTCACTCTGGCGGCTGCAAAAAGAATGAATTGCAGGTCAGCAAGAGTGGAAGTAGAGACCAGTCAGATATTAAAGAAAGTCCTGCTGAGAGATGACAGGACCAAGACTGGAGTGGCGGTGGTGTGGAGGGAGAGAAGTAGATGTATTTATGCCTTAGAGGTGGAACCCATGGAAATTGCTGATGGACTGGATTTGGGCGTGAAGGAATATAAATAATTCTTTCTGGCTTAAGCAACTGGATAGATGTAGGTATTTTTACTGAGCTATGAAAGATGGGGAAGGGGCAGAAAAGACTTGGATGGGGAAATCAGGAGTTTGGTTTGAAAATGTTAAGTTAGACATGACTATTAGACATCCCAGTGGAGAAAGCCGTGTTCCCTTGTCTATCTCAGCCACTCTTATGACTTTAGCTATCTCTTCTTTATGGGGGGGGGGAGGGGGAATGGGTTAAGCACTTGCTTAACCCATTGATTTATGAAACTCAACACTTTTAACACTTTTAAAATCAGACTCATGTCCATTCTGCTTTACCCTATGAGTTCCTCCTGCTCATTTCCCTCTTCCTTATAGTGATACTGCTAGCCTTCTCTTCACCCAGACTTTAAATTTAAGAATTTTCAGTGACTCTCTTCCATCTCCCTCTCTCTCACCAATATTCAAGTACTAAGGGAGTCCTATGGGACTGACCCTGTGCAGTGTTTCTCCCTCTCTGTTCCCACTGACCCTGCCCTAGTTTATCACCATTGCTTCTTATCTGGCCCATTGCAGCACCCTCACTGCCTCTAACCTGTCAATAGGTAATCTTTCCTACACATCACTGCTGTAGATCTTTTTTAAAAAGATTTCTGTTTGATTATCTCCCCATTTCCCACAGGATGAAGTCTGTTCTCTTTAGCCTGGCATTCAAAACCCTTCATGATCTGGCCCCTTCAGCTAAACCAGACTAGAAATGTTCTCCTTTTTGTTTTTTTTTTTCCTAAAGATTTTATTTTTTCTTTTTCTACCCAAAGCGCCCAAAGCCCGGTACCTAGCTGTATGGTTTTTGGGGGGGATTTTTTGTTTTTTAAAATATTTTATTTTTTCCTTTTTCTCCCCAAAGCCCCCCGGTACATAGTTGTACATTCTTCGTTGTGGGTCCTTCTAGTTGTGGCATGTGGGACGCTGCCTCAGCGTGGTTTGATGAGCAGTGCCATGTCGGCTCCCAGGATTCAAACCAACGAAACACTGGGCCGCCTGCAGCGGAGCGCGCGAACTTAACCACTCGGCCACGGGGCCAGCCCCAGCTGTATGTTTTTTTTAGTTGTGGATCCTTGTAGCTGTGGCATATGGGACGCTGCCCTAGCATGGCTTGATGAGCGGTGCCATGTGCGTGGCGCGCCCAGGGTCCGAACCTGCAAAACCCCGGGCCGCCAAAGTGGAGCGTGCGAACCCACACGGGCCGGCCCCTCCTTTTTGTTTTTGCTTATCCTGTTGATTCTAGTCAGCGTGCCCTCCTCTGGCTCCCATCTTCACCAAGTAAACTCCTGTCCATCCAGTAGGACCCTCTCAAATGCCACCAAGTAAGAATCCTAGTTGCCATTTATTAAGTACTGGTTATTAAGTACTTAATGCTTATTTATCCAGTAATCTAAGCGTCCTACATTCATTATCTGACTCTGCATTGCATATAGTTTCTTGTGTATTAGTTTCATCTCTACAAGAATGCAAATTCCCTGAGAGCAGAGATCAGATTGTAATTCTTCTTGAGGATTGACTCCTCAGCTGTGCTGTACACTAGTTAATGTCGGATAAATGTTTGATAAATGACTGAATAATTGCAGAGCTTTGAACTAGTTGCTATGGGAAGATATAAAAGAAGCATAAGAGCTTACATTCTAGTTAAAGAACACATCATAGGGGAAAAAAAATTTCCAGAATACTGTTGAGGGAATACTAAATGGAAGATTGAACAAGGTTAGATTTAACACAAAGTCATCCTGGAGGAATCGAGGGAATATTCAAAGGCTTTAGTGTCAGGCAGAACTGGTTTTGAGTTCCTACTTTTCTGCTTGTTAAGTGTGTGATTTTGAACAGTTATTTTCTCTCTCTAAACTGCATCTGTAAAATGGGTATATTACAACCTCCTTCATAGGACTTGTAAGAATGAAATGAGATAATATATCCAAGTGCATATCACAATGCTCAATAAATGTTTAAAGAGTAAAAAGCAAGCGAGATTTTAAAGAAGGTTAAGGATATTGGATTGTCTGAGGGGTGTTAGTAGGTCTGTCCAAGTTGATGTGAGAGGTGGGGGCTTGTGCATTGGCCAGCTTGCATCAGATCATAGAGGCTGCAGGAGCCTTGGAAATACTGATGGTAATTCTAAAACTGTTTCAGGCACACTAAACGTAAAATATTTCCCTGACCCTTGTATAGCTGCAGAAGTAAAAGGAGGGAGAGAAGAGGA